GAGGTAATTCAGTGACTGAATCAGGTGTGTTGGAGCAGGGAAATATCTAAGACATGCAGGACTGCGGCCCTCGAGGACCAGGATTGCCCACCCTTGGTTAAAATAAATGTTTATCAAATAATGTGTAATGTTACAACTAATCGGGGATCCCTTTAAAAACTTTAAACTTGGCTCTATGGGAGGATTTTACCTTTAGATTTAATCAAACATGAATGAAGCATTAAAGACAAGCTTACAGAAAAAAAATGAGGTTGTAACAATTTATCCTCCTTATTAAACTGTGGATTTTCTAACAGAAATCATTCTGTTTGATTGGGTTCAATAATGTTAAAAAGTTGGACAAATTGTGGTTATARTTCTGAGCACTGCATTCTATTCTCTTATTCTAAACTGATGAGTGTTATGAAACCAACAATAAAGTAACATAAAAAAGACTTTAACAAATTGATATGAACCTGCAGACGAAACACAACACCTGCTGTACCGACAGTATTGCTGTGTTGCAGATGATGACGTCACAAAATGCATACAGGAAGTAAATGCAACCCTGTTTCCTTCTGTTGAATCAACATCAAAAGGTCTAAATTCTGTGCCGTGTATGGTTGTTGCAACCACTCCAATCGGGAAAAATATTTTAAAAAATTGTGTTCTGATGTCGTGTGTCAGTATAAAGACAACYAAAGTGGATCAACAATCTACGGCTAAAAACAGGAGATGTGGATAAGGGCAATGCAAGTTTGCAGTGACTGCTTTCTAAAAGGTCAGGATTGTATCGTTTAAATCATATTTTCAGATATTTTCCTGGATACTTACTTGAATTTAGGTTTATAGAAACTAAATAAATTATTTACAAGTAGATCCAAGCACATCTAGATCTGGAAAAAAATGATAGACCACTTTAAAATGATCAATTTCTATGATTTACTCTTTATAGGTATATGCTTGGATAAAATGAACATTGTTATTTTATTCTATGAACTACTGACAGCATGTCTCTGAAATTCAAACAAAAATTTAGTATGTATTTGCAGAAAATGCAAAATGGTCAAAATCAGGACAAAGATGCAGCTCTGACCTCAAGCTTTCAGACCTCAAATAATGCACAGAAAACCAGTTCATATTCATTTGGAAACAGCAACACTAACGTTTTAACTCAGAACGAGTTCAGAAATCCTTTGATGGAAGGCTTTTAACAAAAAACAGCGAAACTATGGAGTGGTCTCTTAATTTTTTCCAGAGCTGTAGAAATAACGGGTTAACTCCTTGTTAGCATTAGCGATAGTATTGTTTTCATAGGCTAACTACTTCAAATAGCACAAGTCACTCCACACCCAGGCAGAAAACGTAGACAGACATTTAAAGCTTCTTTGATCCAAAATGTTTGACTTAACCTGAAACTAAATAATTGTAGCTTCGTGGAAAGCTTTCTCTGGCTCGTCGAATAATATGAGGTCTGCAGCACCAGATAATTTATGTCAATTACCTRGATGCTGGGTAAATCCTCCAGATCTTTTTTATTATGATAATATGAATTGTATCCTAAATGTACATGTATTTTTTCACATCTGCGCCAGCCCAGTTAGGGCATTAGTGTACTCGCTGTGATCCATTTGCTGTGTTTTGAATCAGAGCAAATCACTCCCTACCCCCTATCTAATTTTCACGTGTCATCCGGGTTACGTGACTGAAACCCAGCAATATCGTGAGTTTGTGTGCACAGTTTCCCAACCAGAGGAAACAGATTCTTACAACCTCAGGTTTTAGTTTTAGCCATGTCCCCTGGGGAATTCTGTAAAAGTACTGTCTTGGTAATATTTAAGCTTTAAGTAAGAAGTTCTGACATCACTGCGCTGTGATCAAACAGAAACATTGTGTCCAGATTAATGTTGTTCGCTTTATTCTGGAATATTTGTGGAAAATCACAACAAAACACTTCCTGGTGCCACTTTTAAAGAACCTTTACTGTGAAAACTGACACTTGTGAATGATGGGAGGATCAMTTCATTTGTTGAGGAAATAAAATGTAAATTTTACACAGAATTGCAACAAGAAGTCCTGATTAACACCAATTATTTACCATTATTTTATCAAGCAAGTCCCATTGAGATCTCAGATCTCTTTTTCAAGGGAGGCCTGGGCCTGAAGAACATGCAAACTCCACACAGAGAAACCCCAGGTCCAAACCGGGGATCGAACCCAGGACCTTCTTGATGTGAGGCGTCGGTGCTAACCACTGAGCTGTCGTGCTYCCAATTGTAAAGATACACTGATCTAGAATCACCATTATTCAGATTAGAGGACATATTAGGACAACATGACTCAGATGACCAGACTGCACATCCAAGCCTACAGATAATCAACATGAAACATTTTATAAGCTGTGTTTAAATCTATTTATTTAACTGGATAATGTTTAGCTGAACATCAATTACCAAGAAAACAGAAATTATAAAGCTGAGAGACACCAAGGAAAAGGCCACTGATGAAAAACCTATTATAATCAAAAGAGAGTCCACAGAGCAATGTTCGGTCAAATATAAAATGAAACCCAAGCCAGGGTAGAGAGGACTGTAAAAAGAGAGAAAAGTTAATTAAAAAACTGCATTTTTTAAATAAAAGATTGTCCTGCAGTTTTCACTGCTAACCCAGGGGGARGAGGGGGCTCATGTGGAACTCTGTACATTTGTGTTAATGAAGATGGCTGGCTTCTAAAAACAAGGGAGTCTGAGAAAAAAGAAAAATGTACTGATTCACTGTTCAACTGACTAAACCAAAGATCACTGTGAGTGTAGACTGATACTGCAGCTGACTCTTCTTCTCATACTGTGAACAAATCCTGAAAAGTTTGAATGCAGCATCGRATCAGTGTATCAGTAATACCACGAACAACTTGATACTGATCTGCATAAATATTTCTCCAAATGCGGAGAATTAAGGAATTTACAACTCTGCTAGGCAGTCAATTAGAAAACCTCCTTCAGTGTGGGTTATGATGCTGCTGCGCCCTCAGTTCTCGCTACTGAAATAACTGGTAGAGTAGCACTGCTGCAACAGCAGTTAATGTTAATGATAAAAGGGTGCAGATACTCAGAGCAGTGAAGGTTTGATTAGATGAGACCATATCTAATCCACAGAATCGTGTTCCTATCTGGGTTTAAGTTCCCTCACAGGTCACCCTAACTCTAAGCATGACAGTAAACTGATATTAGACAACCAGAGGATGATGTGACGGACCTTTTTCAACCATTTCACACTATCAGAATCTGTGGAATCAACTGTAGCACTTACGGTGATGAACACTGTTTTTTTTTTGTTAAAACACTTAAAAAAAACTCCAATCAGAGTGAGAGTGATAATCCTGTCTGATCCTCTGCCACCAGAACCAGTTAAAACAAAGACACTAAAGGCTGTTTGTAAAATTGTGCAGCTCAACTTTCTTACTGTTGCCGTGCTAAATTATTCTTTGTTCCTCATTTCAAGGTGTTGTAGACAATCACTCCACATGCCTTAACTCAATGTCTGTCTGAACACACACACACACACACACACACACACACACACACACACACACACACACACA